CCAGGATGAAATAATAATTTCAAAAATGGCATTATTTTTGGTTTATTTTATAATTTTATAATTATGTTCATTCTAGATTTTCATCTAAAGATCTGCTTTGAATTTGTGCCAGCTGGATGTTAAAAATTTACAGTGCATTTTAAAGTTTTAAATTTTATGCTAGTAGTAAAATTAAGCTCCTTTTTTTCTTTACAGAGAGCTACAAATATTTTTGGCTATTTGATCCATAAGCTTATTAACTTAAATCTATACTACATTTTTTTTATAAGGACTTTTTTAGAACAGTTTTAGGTTCAGAGAAAAATCAAGCAGAAGGTACAGAGAGTTCCTGTAAGCTCCCTACCCCCACACATGCAGAGCCTCATCCATTATCAACATCACCCACCAGAGTGGTACATTTGTTACAGTTGACATACCATTATGACCCAGAGTCCATAGTTTACAACAGGGTTCACTCTTGGTCTAGTATGTTCTGTGGATTTGAACAAATGTATAATAACGTGTATCCACCATTATATCATACAGAATAATAGTTTCACTGTCCTAAAAATCCTCCGTAATCTGTCCATTCATCCCTCCCTCCCCACTAACTGCTAGTAACCATTGAACTTTTTAATGTTACCATAGTTTTGCCTATTTCAGAAAAGGAGTGGTGAGAGAGGGACATCTTTGTCTTGTTTCTGATGTTAGTGGGAGAGCTTCTAGTTTCTCACTGTTAAGTATGACGTTAGCTGTAGGTTTTCTGTGTATATTCTTTATCAAGTTGAGGAAGTTCCCTGTATTCCTGGTTTACTAAGAGTTTTATTATAAATTGAGTGTTGGATTTTGTCAAATAATTTTTCTTGATCTGTTTATACGATTGTGATCATATGATTTTTGTTCTTTAGCATCTTGATATCATGGATTACGTTAAGTGATTTCCAAATATCGAACTAGCCTTCCACACCTACTTGCTCAGTGGGGTATAATTCTTTTTATACATTGTTGGATTTGATTTGCTAATATTTTGTTGAGGATTTTTATATCTGTGTTCCTGAGAAATATTGGTCTGTAGCCTTCTTTTCTTGTAATGTCTTTGTCTGGTTTTGGTGTTAGGGTGATGCTGGCCTCATACAATGAATTAGGAAGTATTCTTTCTGCTCCTTTGTTCTGAAAGAGATTGTATGGCACTGATAAAATTTTTTCCTTAAATGTTGGGTAGAATTCAGAAGTGAAACCATCTGGGCCTGGTGCTTTCTGTTTTGGAAGTTATTAATTATTGATTCATTTCTTTAATAGATATGGTCTATTCAGATTGCCTATTTCTGTTTCTTCTTGTGAGAGCCTTGGCAGTTTGTGTCTTTCAAGGAATTGGTTCATTTTATCTGGCTTGTCAGATTTGTGGGCATATAGTTGTTCATAATATTCCTTTATTATCCTTTTAATGTCCATGGGATCTATATTGATGTCCCCTCTTTCATTTCTGATATTAGTAATTTTCTCTTAATTTCCTGACTAGAGACTTATTGATTTATCTTTTTAAAAAAACTAGCTTTTGGCTTCATTGATTTCCTTTATTGAGTTCATCTCTGGCTTCCATTTTAAATCTACACATTGGGATTTTCATCCCTGCGTAAGCCTGCTTTTTGCTGCAAGTTGAGTTTTATTTTTACTGTAGGCAACATTATAATATTTCAACTAATTTCCTACCTAAAAATACTTTTATTGAAGTATAATTGACATGTAATAAACTGTACATATTGAAAGTATATAATTGATTTGTTATTGATGCATAATAGATGTTCATATTTTGGGGGTATGATAATTTAATATGTTCAAATAAGTTATAAAGATCAAATCAGCATACTCGGGATGTTCATCACCTTAAATATTTATCTTTCCTTTATGCTAGAAACATTCAAATTATTCTTCTATTTTGAAATATATAATAGATTATTGTAAACTACAGTCACCCAACTGATCTATCAAACACTAGGTCTTATTTCTTCTATAAAACTGTATATTTGTACTCATTGATGAACTTCTCTTAATCTCTCCTCTTCTCCATACCCTTCCTGGCCTCTGGTAACCACCGGTCTACTCTCTATCTTCATGAGATCCACTTTTGTAGCTCCCACATACGGGTGAGAACATGTGGTATTTGTCTTTCTGTGCTTAGTTTCTTTCACTTAACATAATGACCTCCAGTTTCATCCATGTTGCTGCAAATGACAGGATTTCATTCTTTTTAATGGCTGATTTTCATTGTATATATACCGCATTTTCTTTATTCATTCATCTAAATCTATACTTCTGTTATTTGTCTTTATGTTTTTATATTTGCTTAAAGGTATATACGTTTCTTGGTTTTACATTTTAGTAAGGAAGAATGTGTTTTGTCTTATATGCTGTAGCAACTCATCACTTATACCTTCAACTCAGCATCCCAATAACTCTCCAAATACGGACAAGAGCCAGGTGGATTAAAATTAAAAAGTGTTGGGGTGGGATAAGATGAGGGGGTGGCTTCTGAGTAACAAAATAGAAGCTACAGAATCTACAACTTTGCCCATAGGAAATTTCCTCAGCATCTCACACAGAACCTATTTTTTAATCTTACTGAAGGCAAAGCTCTAACAAGCTAAATTATTTGTTTTTCACGTCCACAGCAGGTTAGAAGCAATAAAGTAAACGGGACTATTAGGATAGGTGGGCACACGACAGTGAAGCAAGGAATGGAAAACCCAGCTATGGCGAACAGAACTCAGAAAGCACTGGGCCTTGGACTGGTGAGCAGTGGGTCCCACTGCCTGCCTGCCTAGCCCTAGGATTATTCCAGAAATCACTGCTACTTGTAATGTCGCCCCTGAGTCATTCAGAAGAGGTTTAGTATGTCCTTTGTGCTCTAAGAACACAGAGAAGCAGGATACATTTTAGAAAGAAAAACATGCTAATTTTTTTTATCTACCACTCAGCTTTGTGCAATTTTAACATATCGCCATGGTTTTCATATCTTTTTTAAAGAAATAAAATATTATAGATATGTCTGGAGCCCTCTTCTATCTCCTTTCTTTCCCTCCTATGAGTTAGTTATACCTTCTTAAGATTGATAATCACCATTCCCATGCATGTGTTATGCTTGCACTGCAGGTATGTACACACGCAGTAAACAAATGATGTTTTTATATGAATGGTATCATACTATACATATGTTCTATGACTTAATTATTTTGTACTCTACTTTGGGATTTAGCCTATGTTGATAACCCCTGTTATTCATTTTAATTATTATTTCATAAATCCATTGTCAAAATTGTCACTATTCATTTACCTGTTGATGGACCTTCATGTAATTTTTTTCACTTTTTTTTTTGATACTACACATAATGCCATAATGAACGTTCTTATACATCTCTCCTTGTGTGAGTATATAAACTGCACTCTAGGATCACTCCTGAAGCTAGCCCTGAAAGCTCATAAGGGTTAATACAACTTCATCTTTACTATATGTTACCAAATTATGCTCCAAAACGCTTGTCTGATTTCCCCTCTCTCTAACAGCAGTTAAGAGTTCCTGTAGCTCCAGATACTCACCAATACTAGGTTCTTTTTTTAAAACTTTTATTTTATGAGTATGAAATTACATCTCATCGTGGTTCTAATTTGCATGTCCCTACTATGTGTAATGTGATTGAGCATAGTTTGTGGTTATGATTCATTTAGAATACTCTCCTGTGAAATGCCTTATTATATTTTCTATTAGTTGTTTATCTTATGATTATTGATGTATAGGAGTTTCTTCTGTATTCTGCACACCAATTTTTTATCAGATATATGAGCTTCAAATACCTTCTCTCGGTCTATAACTTGTCTTTATAGTGTTTTTATTGTACAGAAATGTTTAACTTTGATAGAGCAAAATATATCAGTCTTTTATGGCTTTGCTTCAGCATCTTAGGAAATTCTTCCCTACCATGGGGGTCATAGATATTCACTTATAAAAATTTTAGGGTTTTGCTTTTCACTTATTTTTAATTCCCTTAGAATTTATTTTTGGTTCTGGTACAGGGTAGGGACCTACTTTTTTCTCCTATAGTTGCCTGATTATATCAGTATGGCTTATTGAATGATCCATCCTTTTCACATTAACAGTTGCTACATCACATCTGTCATGTATCAAATATCCGCATGTGTTTGGGTCTGTTTCTAAAGCCTTTGTTCCATTGGTCTCTTTGTGTCTGTAATGATACTGACTTAATTTTGATATCCCGTGGGGTGAGTGCCCCATCAACATTGTTGGTGTTCTTTAGGAGTGTCCTAGCCATTCTTGGCTTTATATAAATTTTATACGGAATTTAATTTTAAAAATATATGTAATATATATGAAAATTAAAGTTATTTTTTTAAAATCCTGCTGGGATTTTGATTGAAATCACATTGCATTTATAAATTAATTTGGGTAGACCTAGTTAATTTTAAAATATAAATGTTTGAGTACTTAGAAAAATGAATTTCTTGTTTTTTACAAAAATCATTTGTCATGAACAGCCCATTCTGTAAGGGTTTGAATATTCAAGGATTAGTTACATTTAAATAAAGAAAAGCACACCATTAAAAATGTTCATTCATATGTTGAGATAATTTAGAAAATTAAATATTTGATCATCTTTAGTTCTTCATTATGCTTACTAATTTCTTTGTCAAATATTTATTGATTGCTTGTTTTATATAGGACCTTCTGCTATAGAATGTAACAGTGGTTTGAAAATCTCAACAGTTCGTGGTAGAAAAGTTTTACCTGATTTTTGGGTGCTCTACATATGATGTAATTCATACTTCTTAGGTGTACCTCAGTTGGTATTGGAGGAAAATATTCTCCGTTTTGGCTACATGTTGTGTGTCAGATAGTCTCTGCTTTTAAAATTTGCCTCAAAAATCACATAGTATTCAGAGATAACAGAATGTTAGCTCAAAATGATCAGACTAATCATTTGCTTCAATTCGTCTTTGTCCTTCTATAGAGACTTACAGCCAACACAGGAGGCAAACAGCGCAGTCGCCTTTCTGTCATGGCCCAGTACCTCTGCAACGTCCAGCACATCTTTACAATTCCGGGTCGAGCTTTTGTGCCCAAGCCAGAGGTGAGTTTCTGCTTATTTGTTTTATGGTATGTCAGAATTAGGATTTTAGTGTACTCTTTATTCTATTGAGGATGTGTCATAAGAAATAATCTGTAGGATCTAACGTTTATTTATATGCAAACTGCACCATAAATTTTTCTTTACTTCTCCTGAATAAGAACCGCAGAAATCAGAATACGAAAAGTTCCTATTCTAATTTTTCTCCCCTTAGATAGGGTGACCAAATGTCTCAGTTTACTCATGTTGCCCTCGTGGTAGTAGTATTGTTATCATCATCATCATCATCATCCCGTTATTCTTAAAAGTATCCCTATGGAAGATAAATTACATGGTCACCCAATCCTTGTGAAAAGAATTCAAATATTTGTTGTGATTTCTGATAAAGACTTCTAACTAAAGCTACATCAAACATTATTTATTGTGCATTTTTACCTTATTTTGGCAGTAGTATTTGTGATAAATCATCTGTGGAAAAATATATATTAAACTAGGCTTTGACTATTATATGCTAGTTACACGAATAGGGGCTAATTACAGAAACAAAGTTTCTCTGCCAAAAATAAAAATACAAAAGCTGGTGTCTATTTTAGCAAAACCACTGCTTGGTGAGTTACTATAGGACATGTGCTATATGAACTCAGCTTTTTCCTCACTGGATGTATAGTGAACACACAATGCTTGCAAAGCCCTGGGCTGGACATCAAGGGCCAGGCAGCAGAGACATGAGCCTAAGCAAATACAGAGTCTGTGTTCGGGAGTTCACAGTCTGGTGAGGAATAGAAATTTCTCGTTAGTTGCTAAAAATCTCAAGTATAAAGTCTTGCACAGTTTCCCTTACATCATTTGTCCTTCATAAATAAAAATAGCATGAAAACATGGTATCATGTGGTTTATAGATTTAGATATAGATTATAGATTTAGAATGAGGACCCCAACCAATAGTGTTAGATCTACTTGTCTGTCTTGAAGCATGGTCTGAGCATTCTCCATGCCCTTTGCTGCCACCTTAATACTTCCTCTGCCATTTGTCCACCACAGTTAGCTGAGCTTTCAGGTTACTGTATGAATTCAGTCCATCTTCCACTTACGTAGCAGACATAATTGTCAGCTTTTTCTTTTTCTTTTCTTTCTTTTTTTTTTTAATTGCAGCATATTACAGGGTTACAAATGTTTAGGTTACATATATTGCCTTTGCCACCCGAGTCAGAGTTTCAAGCATGTTCATCCCCTAGATGGTGTGCACCGCACCCATTAGGTGTGAATATACCCATACCCTGCTCCCCACTCCCACCTGCCCAACACCCAATAAATGTTACCATATGTGCACATAAGTGTTGATCAGTTAATACCAATGTGATGATGAGTACATGTGGTACTTATTTTTCCATTCCTGTGATACTTCACTTAGTAGAATGGATGGTAGCGCTATCCAGGATAATACAAGAGATGCTACATCACCATTGTTTTTTGTGGCTGAGTAGAACTCCATGGTATACATATACCACATTTTATTAATC